ATTTTAATTATTTTTTCCCATAAGTGTATTATCTAGGATCTGCGTAGCAATCACTTTGGTACTTCTTCAAATGATATTTAAAAAGCTTACTTATAATGATGCCTCGCACACCTTAGGAGTAACTGCTCATTTGGTCTCTTTCTAAGCAATTTTTCAGTGGCTTCTACCTATCAGAAAAAGAAGAAACTGAACACCATAAAGTGCATCAGACTTAATACAGCTTCTCTAATAACTACTTTATAACTATTCAGAGTATTCCATCTTCTAAGATACTGCAGGACTAATTATAATAAAAATCCTTGTTTGCTGAGGGTAACTTTGGAAGAAAACTCTTGCTAGACATTAAGCTGTATTTAACAATGGACATTTGTCTCACTTTTTACAGACACACACCCAAGCACAAAACTGAACTCATGGAACATTCATGTCCTTGGCTGAAAGCAGGCAAACAGGCAGACTAGAGAACTGACATCCAGAAGAGATTACTCCTCTCTCAGAATGAATAGAGACAAGAAACTGGAAGTTTAGGCCAGGAAAACCAGGACTTCATGATCCTTCTACATTCTGCCAAGGTGCTGACAGAGGCACCCAGAGGCAGGGACGTAAGGTGAGACTCAAGGTTACCCTGGAGGTCACGCAATTGGAGACCAGTACCATGGCCATTTGATGGTGCTGACAGCGCTCCAGAAACTGGTGAGCCGAGGAAGCAGGACTGTGACAGCCTCCCCGGCCTGGCTGGAGCCAGGCCTGTGGTGCGGATCCAGGCTTTCTCCCTGGTGTCAGGTGTCATGGATCATCATGCAGCTACCCTGCTGCTCTCAGAGACGGAGCAAAGGTTTGGATGCCATCAGTGATGCTGTGCTTCTGGAATGATGTGTCCACTGCCTGATGAAGCTCTACTGCCAGGAATAGCCCTAGTACCTGAACTTGACTGAGCTCTTACTGCAGAATTCCTATGAGAGTGAGATGGGACAGAGCTTGAACATCATCTCAGTCCCCCGTAGCAATATTAATCTTTACAGTCTCACTGAAAAGAGGTACAAAGTACTGTCACGCACAAGACTGCTTCCTAGTCTTACCTTCATGTAGCTGCTGCACGCATATGGCAGACCTGCCGGAGATGGAAAGTTCTTTCAGACCCAGGGTGATTGCTTTGACCTCTTTGGCGACCTCACTGTGACAGCCAGGACTGGGCCAAACATACAGGACAAGGGCAGCTGGCTGCAGCAGGTCTCTCTGAGCAGCCCTAGATCTCACAGGAGCCCAATCTGCCCGTTTTCCTGTGGTATGAGGAGGCAGCACAGCCTCATGGAGCTGTACGCTGGCAGCGCCCCCCTCCCCCCGCCCAGACCCCCTTCCTGGGGCTAGCACGCAGGATCTTCAAGCAAAAAAGTTTACCTAGAGACTCAAGGGCAGAGCAGGCTCTCAACAAACTATGGTCTAATCTTAAAAAAAAAAAAGAAAGAAAAAAGCACAACTGTCACAAACTTTTATCTCTCAACTCAACTAGTATCTCAGAATGGACAAGGGCAATTCAGAGCACATCAGCAACATACAGAAACACAGGCAGTGCTGCTTTTTATAAAATAATTCCCATATACTTTATAGGTAACATCAATGACTCCTCTTAAAGGGATCGGCTACTAAATTTCACCTGCCTTTTAATCTCTGTTAATATTTACTCTGCTTAAGGAATTAGTTAGGACCTCACAGATATAAAGATCTTGTTTACAGACCAGCGTTTCTGGGCCTGCTCCAGAAAGTTTGTCCAACATGCTGGAGGTTTCTGCTTGTTTTGAATCTTGTGGCCTGAAATTACTTTTCTTCCTGGCAGTAATTCCATGAACAGCAACATTTTTTAACATTCAAAATAACTCCCTTATTGCATTACTTGAATCAACTTTTATTTTATACTCTAATTTTAAATAATTTATTTCTTAATGAGAAACTTTCCGTTGCTAGCCATTTGAACTCTGAAAATTTAATATAGACTTTTTTTTGTAGAAATTTTCTTTTGGCTCAGTTGAGACCATAAACAGCAAGTCAGGAAACCTTATAATCACCTCACTAAAATTTGGAGCCATTTACAGTAACTCATTATATCTAATATCTTACAATATGATAACCATCTTAGAACTCTCACAACTTTTATAAAAACCACAAACAAAATCAATCACAAGAGGCTTAACCTAGTTATCATCCTAGGCATTTACTCATCTGGATGTCCAAGAGATGTATCTTAACTACATAAATCTGCTTAGCTACGTTATTATTTGTTTTGTAAATCATGGATTAAAAAAACCCAAATTAATGTTTCCTCAACATTCCATGCTCTCATTCCATTCACAAGCTGTTTAAACAAGTTACTGAAGGTTTCTGGGTTATCTTTAGATAGCAAATAGGATCACAGGTATTATTAGAAACACATTAATGTAAGTATCTATAAACATAAAGAATTATACAACATTTCCTTTGACATTAAATCCCTATTATAATTTCCATCTAAATCCCAAATGCAATTTTCAGAATGCGTTAACTAGATAAACTCATTCCACTCTGACTTTCTATTGTACCACAGACAAAACAAAAAGACACAGGCTCAGCTGTTTGAAAGCACAATACAAGGGGGGTGTTGTGAAGAATAAAGTGGAAGCCAGGAGACCTAGGCCCTACGTGTGAAAAGGGGCGCCCTGTGTCGGCCCTCCACTGTCACTGCCCGCCAAGCCAATGACGCCGTCCTGACAGGCTTCTCAACTCCCTTCAGGGTATTTGAGCAAGGTGTAAGGCTATACTCCTAAACCAATAGGAAATCAAGAATAATTTTATTTTTCAAAAATCATGTTTTGGGGGTCTTCCCTAGTGGCGCAATGGGTTAAAGCACAGCACTACAAATTTCTCCAAAGCCACTGTAACATGAGTTCCATCCCCCGCCAGGGAGCTGACCCACATGGCGCAGCAGACCTCTCCTGACCAGCTCACTGTTCCTCTCAGCAGTTTATTTCAGTTAATCTGTTCGGCTACCCACTCTGGTGAATCCTCTCACCCACCATACCTCTGGTTTGTATCCCAGTTCTGTATGCATAAAAAAAAATATTTAAAAAAATCATATTTTTTAATAAGAATAATGAACAGCCATATACTAGAGACATTTTATGGGGAGAAGTGGGGAATGGGTACAAAAATGGTGGGGGGAGGGAAGTGCACTGGACTATGGTGATGACACATGGGTAATTGGTGATGGGAAACACACGGGGATTACAATTGAGATAAAAAAATGTACAAAAATGATGTAAAAATAAACTTTTATATTATAAAAAAATTAAAAAATAGGAAAAAAAATCATATATTTTAAAATAGTGATCAGAATATTTTTCTTTAAAAAGTATGTATACTGGCCCTCCCTGGTGGCGCAGCGGGTTAAAGCATAGCACTGAGAATCTGAAGCCACTTCTGCATGAGTTCGATTCCCACCTGCCGCCTGCCCCAGAGGAGACCACATGGCGAGCCAGACCTCTCCTGGCCCGCCCGCTGCTCCCCTCAGCAGTGTACTTCGTCGATCTGCCTGTTCTGCTCCCCACTCTGTCTCTGGTGAAGCCTCTCACCGCCCCTGAGCCTCTGGCCTGTACCCCAGTTCTGTATGCACAAATAATAATAAGTAAATAAATCTTAAAAAAAAAAAAAAAGTATTTATACTTATAAATGTTCATTTTAAAATTTTAAATATTTATAGAGTAAAAAGCCTTTTCAAACTTTCTGAACCCCTTAAAATGTCTATTCAGAAAAAAAGTATAACCCCAGAGAATAAAAAGAATGAGAAAGAAGACAATAGCTGATAAGAGATGCTGACATTTTGAAAAACAAAGTGGATGGATCAGGAGAGGCACGTTCACACAGGCGGGCGAAGGTGGACGCGCTGCTGTCTGTGGGTAGAGGGCTAGCGCTAGTTCTAAATCCTGCCAAGGCTCAGGGATTCGAGGCTCCTCTGAAAATATGGGTAAGGAGTAGGCCTGAAGACAGTCCTAAAGTTTGGGGAAGAAACAATGAGATCCTAAGATCTCCATTACTACTTCACAGAGTGAGGACATGGCTGGGCCCTAATTCAACAGATGATTAAAGATTTACTCTTTGGAGAAAATGAGCCAGTAAGCTGTGGGCCCAACAGGAGCAAGGCTGAAGTCACAGCAGAGCTAGTGAGATGCCCAAGTCTACCTGCAGGACCACCACTGTAAGATCACTGGGTTAAAAAAGAAGCATCTGCTCCACGAAGCCTGTCACAAGTCATGGTTCTTCAAAAAGATCTCATCAGACTCTTTTCTAGAGAGTTTTGGAAATGACAGGACATCAAATGCATCTCCTTATGGTGGAGAAGTCAGGGTCACTGGAGCGTGTTCTGGTACCTGCAGCAGCGCGACGTGAAGACCTGCCCCTGCAGAGCTGAAAGCATCCTAACCAGTATTAGGCCGGCACCCATGTCGGATGACTTCTAGTAATCGCCCCCCTTGCCTTTCTGTTTATCACCTCCACAATTACTTTTTTACAGAAAAAAATAACTCAAGTTATATTTTAACTGTACCCATTAAGAAAAACAAATGATTGCGTAGGGAGCTATTCCAGAGTTCAAAGATCTGCCCCGGCAGTACTTGGACAACTTGGACTTTCTGTTGTTGTGCTGACTTTCCACACTATTGCTGTAACAGTCTGGACCAGAAGGGGGGGGACAGCAATAGCTGAGCCCCAACATAAAATATGCAAACAGACGCACCACTATTCATTCTCGACCTGGAGACACTGACTATATCCTTCAAGCGCTGAGTGCTACTCCTCCCGAAGCGCTGTGCTGTGATGGCAGTGCGCGCTTCTCACAACAAACTCTAGAACAGTAAGTCATCACTTGCTCTGGGCTACACGAAGCGGCAGCACGAGCCGGCCCCCACCAGGCTTTGGGGACCACTCCCACTCTCTCCTAGTGCTGAGCCCTGACCTCAGCGCATGGCACAGACCTTCTCCCTCAGGCCCATCGGTGCGGTCCAGCTTGGCGTCTTTGTGCTGCCCTTCAGCCACCTTCACAGCCACCGCTCGGCAAATGGCACCAAACTTCCGATCCAGGGAGCGAACCCCTGCCTCTCTGGTATACCTGTCACCAAGAAAAAGATTTCATTTTTTGCTAACCACCACCTGTAAAAATAAAGAAGCAATGGGCCCTCCCTGGTGGCGCAGGGGGTTAAAGCACAGCACTGAGAATCTAAAGCCGCTTCCGCATGAGTTCGATTCCCGCCTGCCCCGGAGGTGACCACATGGCGCAGCAGACCTCTCCTGACCCGCCCGCTGCACCCCTCAGCGGTGTACTTCATCAATCTGCCTGTTCTGTTCCCCACTCTGTCTCTGGTGAAGCCTCTCGCCACCCCTGAGCCTCTGGCCTGTACCCCAGTTCTGTATGCACAAATAAATAAATCTTTAAAAAAAAAATAAAGAAGCAATGTCATTAACATTTGCACTAAAGGAACAGGCTATGCAATTTAAAAGTTCATTCCATTTTCTTAAGTACCAATGTCTTCAATATTTGAAAATTCCTCATTAGCATTATTTCTTAAACATCCATTTTCAGCTACAACTGTTCCCTTTATGTAATTAGCTTGAATTATTGCCCTCTACTTAAAAAAGAAATGAATATTTGGTTCTTCAATTTACAGCAAATAAATCTGAAACCTGGCAGCACATGAATCAGTTCCTCCTTGACGGTCCATCTAAGAGCGTCCTTAAAACCAGTCATCTTAAGAGTGTTCTACATACATTTATTATACTCCCCACACTGTTAAAAGAATCAGAAAAATAGAGCTTTCTTCCCAATGGAAGCAAAAAATAATCTGAAACAGAAATCTAGTTTTTAGTAGGAACAGAGCTCATCACCTCTATTTGGCATTTTTTCATTGGGAGACTTCTAAAAAGGCATGCGAGTAATGGAAGCACTGTGGTTTGAGGTGAGAGCTCAGTGCAGTTAAGCAAAGCTGTCTTTAAAAAACTTGAGTCAAATTTCATCAGCCACTTCATGAACTATCACATAGCACAACCATTTCTGCCCAGCCAATTCTGGAAGGATCAGAACAGGCAGCATCAGGCACAGAATGTTGTTTTATGTGAAAACCACGATGTGGCTGGACAAGCAGACATATTGTTGAGCTGTAGGATGCAGACTTTTAAAGTTCTGAGAAAAGACAAATAATAGTTTTTGGCCACTTAACAGTAAAACACTTCAATCAAAGGGATCAGAGAATATAGGAATAATGTCCACCTATACATTTGCATATAATTTTAGTAAGGAAGACAAGAGGGAAGCATCTTAAAATAAACAAATCAACATGCAAAAACAAAAAGAAAAACCCAATTTTAACTTTCCAATGATATGATCAACTCAGATTAGAGAGTCTGGACAAAGGATGAAAGAAAAGGGACTGAGGAGGTTTGCAGAGGAATGGGGGTGGGCGTGTAGAAATGTTACCAGAAGCTCAGAGTGCAGTGAAGCTTGCCACAAATAATAAAGATAACAAAACAAAACAAAACAAAATATCTTTTTTTTTTTTTTTGCATTACACATCTAGAAACAAGAGCTGGTACTTTTTTTTTTTTTCCTTAAAGATTTATTTATTTGTGCATACAGAACTGGGTACAGGCCAGAGGCTCAGGGGTGGCGAGAGGCTTCACCAGAGACAGAGTGGGGAGCAGAACAGGTGGATCACGAAGTACACTGCTGAGGGGAGCAGCAGGCGGGCCAGGAGAGGTCTGTCGTGCCATGTGGTCACCTCTGGGGCAGGCGGGAATTGAACTCATGAGGAAGTGGCTTTAGCTTCCTAGTGCTGTGCTTTCACCCGCTGCGCCACGAGGGAGGGCTACCTTTTCTTTTTTTAAGGTTTTTAGAACAATAATGGCTAGAAACAAATGCACATAGCATAATATTAACAGCTGACAAAAAGGGAAAACCTCTAGTCAGTAGTATTTTAAACTAAAAAGGGAAGGGCTTCTGGTGTCAAACGAGTAGGTTGATGTTTCTTATGAATGACTTGAACACGAAGATGTATGCAGGCTGATTTTCAGAGGACGTATTAAAATACTTGATAAGATGAAAAAAAGATCAGTTTTTGCAGTGATAGCTGAGGCAAATAATAAAATATCCATTACTGTAAACGTCTACACTTGGGTTTTAAAAATCAACTCTATAAATACAGAATGGATAGAACAAGCTTAGCAGAAATTCATATGAAAAAGAAATAAAGATGTTAGGTAACTAAAAGACCATAGGCCAAGAATAACCTAAAACAAAAAACAAACTAAGCACCTTGAGATAGTCATAAAATAATGGAGTCAGACCCAGGAGCACAAGGATGGTTCAACATCAGAAAATCAATTAATGTAATCCATCACATCAACCGACAGAAGAATAAAAACCACATAATCATATCAATA